CAGTTTCTACCTATCTATTCAAAGGGCCTCTGCTGCAGAACACCAAATGTAAGAATTCACTGATCAATGTATCTATGTACTGGCTCAGTGGGGAACTTCAGAAATTCATCTAGACCTGTGAGCTCAGCTCCTCAGCAGCCCCTCTGCCTGAGTGATAATCCCTGGCATCCTGATACCTGAGTGCCAGAGAGGTAGCCATTCCAGAAATAACAAACCCAGAGGAAGACCAAAGGGTGTGAGGAACTTGGCTGGGAAACAGGGAAATGTAAAGATCTCTTTTGTGACACTCGCTGGGTGTTTGGTGGAGGGCAAGGGGAACCATGGGGCAGGGTCCAGGATGCTCAGATTACTGCCACCAGATGTAGGAGTGATGTAGTTTTGGGGGGGTGTAACCTGGGGATTAGCAGCTAATAAAACTTTGGGTTCTCTTTTCTTCAGGGCTTCCATCCTGTTCCACCTGGTGGCAGGTGGGAGTCCTGTCGCGACAGTCTTCAATCCAGACCAATTTGCTCTGCTATTCCTGGCCGGTGTCCTTGTTTCTTGTCCAGGGGAGCCTCAGATTTCTCCGTTAGCAATTCTCCACGGTGCCGTGCACTGAAATTAACTAAATTTGGGGGAATGGGCAGGTCTTTGCACCCCGGTAGCGCATATGCCGGTAGCGCTGTCTTAGCCCTGGAGGGGGCTTTGACTCCCGAGCGCAGCCCAGCATAGGATGGGGTCTGCGCAGAAAGTGAGGGGTGGTGACACCTGGGGCAAGGAAAGGCAACCAGCGCTGGGCTTCCCGGGGCGCCATGCAGCGGAGCGGGGGGGGGTCGGCAGTCACCCCTCCAGTCCAGCCCTGGGGGTCTTAACGGGAAAATCCGAGGGCTCCCTTGGACAAGAAGAAAGACACCAACCAGGATAACTTGGAGCAAAACAGCAGCCTGTGGGCTTGGTCTTTCTTGATCTGTTGCAACAGGGGCTCCCTCACTTGCAGGAGAGGGGAGGGACCCAGAAAAATGGTGTGCCAGGCCTTAGAAAGACTTTTGAAATTGCCACCCTGTAGATCAAGACCACCCCCATTCTATCCTCCCATTTCTGAATTCTGGAATGAGTTTCCTTACTTCCTGCAAAGCCCTTTCCCCTGCAAACTGTTCCTCTGGTTTCTGGCCAGGGAAGGAGATGCTCTGAGCCCAACCGATAGCCTCACCCCCAAAAGGAGATCTGGGCATTGAGGTAGCCAGGGGGGCAGCTGCCCCCCTAAATCCATAGAAAAATCATAATCTGAGGTTTTGCCAAGCAAGAGAGGGCTCAGCTTGGGGACTCGGCTTGGCAAGGGTTAAAGGGATCTGAGCTGCCTTCCTAGAGAGGCCAGGAAGCAAGGGGGGGCAGGTCCTCCAGAGCCAAGGCCCCTCCCTCCCCAGTCCTTTCCTGCTTGGGTGTCTCTCCTGGGATCTGGTGAGTCTCCTCTCTCTCTCTCTCTCTGGGATCTGGTGAGTCTCCTCTCTCTCTGGGATCTGGTGAGTCTCCTCTCTCTCTGGGATCTGGTGAGTCTCCTCTCTCTCTGGGATCTGGTGAGTCTCCTCTCTCTCTGGGATCTGGTGAGTCTCCTCTCTCTCTGGGATCTGGTGGGGGTCCCAGGGCTGCAGCAGGGGAGGGGCCTGGGGGGACCCCAAGTCAGGGAGGAGAGGGTCCTGCCAGGGAGGGGCCAGGTCTGCCACGCTCTCCTTCCTGCAGAGCAGAGGATCCCAAACTCATTTGGCCTTCCGCCCCCCCTTCAGAAAAACAATGACTCCCACGAAATCTCCTTCTTTAAACAAAGGAGTCCCTGGGACTGTGTGGCGTCGCTCAGCGGCATTGCAGAACAGAGGAAACATCTGCAAATGGTTTTCGAAAGCTGGACGAGGAGGTGGACTAGACACCCCACACCCCCAAAAAAGGTGGGAAAGAGAGGCCAGGAGTAAAGAGAGGGATCCCAGCCCAGAGTCTGGCTGCTGCATTGGGGACCAGTTTCCCAGTGTCTCCCAGGGCAGCTCCCCACAGAGGCCACTGCAGCAATCCCCTCGCACCCAGAGCAGGGCATCCCAGGACCACATCCTCTCTCTCCCAAAGGGGTTGTTGCTGGCAAAGCAGCCGGAAATGGGCGCTGCTACTCCCTGAGCCTCCAGGGACCTGGGCATCAATGGCTGTGCGTGTGTTCAGCCATCTAAGAGAATAATAATCATAAATTAGCTGCCTAAGTTCCAAAGGAGATGTATTTGGCCCCACCCACTTGGCCCTCAGGGGGTTGACTAGATACATACCTGGCCCTCAGAGCAAAGAAAAAGGGACCCCACCCCAGGAGTCTGTTTTTCAGAGCAGCGGAGAGTCCAAGTGCAAGAAAAGGAGACAGAAGCAGGGGGGAAATGTGCCCTGAAGTGGGGGTGGGGGGAGAACAACTCCTGAGGACCCCCAGGTGAGGACCCCCACTAGAGCCAAGCATCCATTTTCCACAAGATACAAATGACTCCCTTGTCAGTCAGTTCTGACTTCTTGCATTGACTGGAAGGCAGGAGCAACCAGGCTGACTCATCTCCCAGAAATCCCTCCAGTTGCCTCCACATTCTGCATTGCTAGAGGGCTGGAGACTTACTTCTTCTCCCCTTCCTCCTCCTCTTTCTTTTCAAAAAGGTATCTCATGGTTTGGGCTCTGGTACCGTCCAGTCCTGATTCCTGGCAAGACTCATCCATGCTTGTTCAGGGATCTTGTTTCTTCTCCTGACCTACAAATTCTGTAACAGAACAATGTATTTGCTTTCTAGGATTTGCTAGAGCTTCTCATTAAGACGGACACAACTTGGCAGAAGACCAAAGGGTACCTTCCAATCTCTTAGAGACTTCCTGAGAGCACAGATGGATGAGCAAGACCCCGTTGGCCCTGAAGCAGGAAGGGGCCATGCCAACCAAACTGGGAGCAGTGGGGGATTCTGGGAAAACTCTGTGCAGAAGATCCTGGGTGAGGAGGACACCCTCTGCTCAGAGGTGCAGATCCAGCAGTTGAGGCAGTTCTGCTGCCAGGAGGCCAAGGGACCCCGAGAGGTTTGCAGCCGATTCTACCACCTTGACCTTCAGTGGCTGAAGCCAGAAAGGCACACGAAAGCTGAGATGCTGGACCTGGTGATCTTGGAGCAGTTCCTGGCTGTCCTTCCACCGGAGATGGAGAGCTGGGTGAGGGACTGTGGAGCAGAGACCAGTTCCCAGGCGGTGGCCCTGGCCGAAGGTTTCCTCCTGAGTCAGGCAGAGGAGAGGAAGCAGGCAGAGAGAAAGCAGGTGAGGGAGACTTTCCTCTGGATACTACCTTGACCAGAGCCAGGGCCTTTTCGGATGTGGCTCCATCCTGGTGGAACGCTCTCTCACAAGAGACCAGGGCACTGTGGGATTTGACATCTTTCCTCAGAGCATGCAAGACAGAGCTGTTCCGCCAGGCCTTTCTTCAGGGTTCAGTCTGATTCTTTTCTTTCAGTACAAGAATAAGCACTAAAGAGGCTTCCTAGCCCGCTCACACCTCCTTTATAAGACCAGTGGTAACAGTAGTTGGCCCTAGCGAATATTAACCACTCTCATTTTTACTTGACTTGATCATGGATGGAGGATTTGACCTGGCATGTGTAACAGAGACTTGGTTGGAGGAAGCAGATGGGCCTGTTCTTGCCGCTGCTTGTCCACCAGGTTTATCTTACACACAGCAACCCAGGTCATGTGGGCGGGGAGGGGGGGTTGCAGTGATTCTTAGGAAGTCATTAGTTTGCACCAGGCGTCCTATTGGGAAGACCCAGTTCTCTGAGTGCATGTTCTGGAAGTTGGGCAATAGGGGCAGTTACAGGATTCCTTTTGGTGTACCGACCTCCCCGCTGCACCAAGGATTCCCTGCCTGAGCTGCTTCAGGTCGTGGCAGATGTTCTCCTGGAGACACCTAGCTTGGTTGTCCTGGGGGATTTTAATATTCATGCCGACACGACCTTACAAGGGGCCGCTCGGGACTTCGTGGAAAGCATGGCCTCCATGGGGCTGTCCCTGAATAAGTCTGGCCCAACCCATAGCCGCAGACATGCCTTGGACCTGGTGTTCACCTCTATGGATGTTGGTGATCTGACACTAAGTAAAAGCGAAACGAAAGAAGTGCCATGGTCAGATCACTTCCTGGTGCAACTGGACTTCTCCGCGACCCTTCCCCTGTGCAGGGAGGTGGGACCAATTCGGATGGTCCGCCCCCGCCACTTAATGGATCCAAATGGTTTCCAGAGAGTGGTAGGGGATGCTTTATCCCATGTTGATGGCCTTTCAGCTGATTCCCTGGTGTCCCGCTGGAATGTGGAGTTAACAAGGGCTGTTGACTGTTTGGCTCCAAAGCGCCCTCTCCGATTGCATGGAGCCCGGACAGCCCTGTGGTTTTCCACGGATCTGAGGGCAATGAAACAATCGTTGAGACGGCTAGAGCGCCGGTGGCGGATGACCCATTCTTTTTTTTTTTATAATATATTTATTCCAAATTTAAAATTACAAAAGAAAAAAAGACCATACAAAATAGAATAAACATATAACAAAAAACAGACAATAAGAAAGACTCAACAAAAAATATAAAAGTACATTACAATAAAATAAAACAAAAATCAAATTAAACCTTTACAGCCTTTTTTCCTTTTACTTATTTCCGTGGCCTCCTCTCACCTCCCTGCTTTGTATTCTAGTTTAAATCGTATTTCCAGCAAATCCTTCTAACCTTCTTTTCATTTACTTATTTTAACATTCAATAGTATAATTAGTACTCCTCTATCCCATCAGTTTCTATACTTCATTTTTACTTAGTCCATAATATCATATCTGCCAAAGCGACCTAATAATCTTTTTCCAACCTCTTTCTAACATTCTTTTATGATGCAATATTTTTGAAGATATAATTTAAATTTTTTCCAGTCTTCTTCCATCGACCCTTCTCCCTGGTCTCGAATTCTGCCGGTCAGCGGATGACCCATTCTGAAGCTGACCGGATACAGGTTAGAGCTCAATGTCGAGCCTACCAAGTGGCGGTAGCGACGGTGAAGAAGACTTTCTTCACCGCCTCTATTGCATCTGTAGAAAACAGCAGCAGGAGACTTTTTCAGGTGGTCTGCAATTTAGCGGAACCACCTGCTACATCGGGGCCCAGTACGGGCCACATGATCTCCTGCAATGATTTTGCAAAGTTTTTTGCAGATAAAGTCGCTCAGATTCGGGAAGAGGTAGACTCCACCGTGGGAGCAGGGCCGGGGCGGGAGAGTGCTAGAGTCCTGTCTAGTCAAACTGCGTGGGATCAATTCCAATCTGTTACCTCCGAGGATGTGGACAGGCTGCTTGGACGAGTGAAACCAACCACCTGTCTCCTGGATCCTTGCCCATCCTGGCTTATAAAAGCTGGCCCGGAAGGGCTGGGCGATGGGCTTCCTGGGGTGGTGAATGTTTCCCTCCGTGAAGGAGCCTTCCCAGACCCGCTGAAAGAGGCGGTTATTAAACTGCTTCTTTAAAAACCATCTTTATTGCGGCCACGATGGCCAACTATCGCCCAGTCTCAAATCTTCCATTCTTGGGCAAGGTGATTGAGCGAGTGGTTGCCGAACAACTCCAGGCACGCCTGGAAGAAGCGGACCATTTGGATCCCTTCCAGTCGGGATTCAGGCCTCATCATGGGACTGAAACTGCCTTGGTCGCACTGGTTGATGATCTCCGGCGGGCTAGGGACAAAGGTGAGAGCTGTTTCCTAGTTCTGCTGGATCTCTCAGCGGCGTTTGATACCATCAACCATAACATCCTTCTGGACCGTCTTGAGGGGCTGGGAGCTGGGGGCACTGTCATACAGTGGTTCCGCTCCTTCCTCCTGGGCCGTGTTCAGAAAGTGGTGGTGGAGGATGAGTGTTCAGACCCCTGGTCTCTCACTTGTGGAGTGCCTCAGGGTTCTGTCCTCTCCCCCATGCTTTTCAACATTTACATGCAGCCGCTGGGAGAGATCATCAGGAGGTTTGGGCTGGGTGTTCATCAGTATGCGGATGATACGCAGCTCTACCTCTCTTTCAAATCAGAACCAGTGAAGGCGGTGACGGTCCTGTGTGAGTGTCTGGAGGCAGTTGGTTGGTGGATGGATGGTGGCTAACAGACTGAGATTGGATCCTGACAAGACAAAAGTACTGTTTCTGGGGGACAGGAGGCGGGCAGGTGTGGAGGATTCCCTGGTCCTGAATGGGGTAACTGTGCCCCTGAAGGACCAGGTGCGCAGCCTGGGAGTCATTTTGGACTCTCAGCTGTCCATGGAGGTGCAGGTCAATTCTGTGTCCAGGGCAGCTGTTTACCAGCTCCATCTGGTACGCAGGCTGAGACCCTATCTGCCTGCGGACTGCCTCGCCAGAGTGGTGCATGCTCTGGTTATCTCCCGCTTGGACTACTGCAATGTGCTCTACGTGGGGCTACATTTGAAGGTGACCCGGAAACTACAACTAATCCAGAATGAAGCAGCCAGACTGGTGACTGGGAGCGGCCACCGAGACCATATAACACCGGTCTTGAAAGACCTACATTGGCTCCCGGTACGTTTCCGAGCACAATTCAAAGTGTTGGTGCTGACCTTTAATGCCCTAAATGGCCTTGGTCCGGTATATCTGAAGGTGCGTCTCCACCCCCATCGTTCTACCCGGACACTGAGGTCCAGCACCGAGGGCCTTCTGGCGGTTCCCTCACTGCGAGAGGCCAAGTTACAGGGAACCAGGCAGAGGGCCTTCTCGGTAGTGGCGCCCTCCCTGTGGAACGCCCTCCCACCAAATGTCAAAGAGAAGAACAACTTCCAGACTTTTAGAAGACATCTGAAGGCAGCCCTCTTTAGGGAAGTTTTTAATGTTTGATGTATCACAATATTTTAATATTCTTTTGGAAGCCGCCCAGAGTGGCTGGGGAAACCCAGCCAGATGGGCGGGGTATAAATAATAAATTATTATTATTATTATTATTATTATTATACCAGTGGACTGCCGTCTGTCCAGATTTTAATTTGTTTTGAACTAATTTTAAGAAGTATTTTAATTAATCGATTGCCTGTTCTTATGTTCTTTGTATTCTGTGTTAGATTTATGATGTTAGCCGCCAAAAGATCGGCTCCGGCCAGGGAGGGTGGGGTACAAATAAAAAAATATTATTATTATTATTATTATTATTATTAGGGGCTCCAAAGAGGATGGAGAACATCCCATAATGCTCTGCTGATGGCCCATCCTTTTTCTGGGAAGGCATCCATGGAATGAGATCTCACACCCTTAAAGTTTTTACTTTTCCATTATCTTTCTGCTATTTCTTGTCATTCATTCTCTGTTTTGAATCCTTGTTGCTTTTTCAGGAAAAGGATCATTTTGGGGAAATGGACCTGGATTCCTGTGAGGCAGAGAGGCCTCCGTTGGACACCAGAGAGAGGCCACTGGGTAAGGAGGAAGGCGGTTTTTCTCCATTTGGTCTCATTCTGTTGGTTTTCCATATAATCTCTGGGTTCTTTTCATCAAGTTTTTTTTGGGGGGGGGGGGAGTTGGGAGGAAGGGTCCAGAGGAGGAGAGATGTATTTCTGCATGACTAACATATGAAATGGGCACAAATGTCCAAATGCACTCAGCAGGTAAGGCTTTCTCAAAGGCCCATCTATAGTTAGAGATGCCCTGTTTCACCTGTGAGAGACATGGGCACGCCTGGCATCCTGCTTACCTGTTTTCTCTTTCAGGAGACAGAATGATGCCGGCAAGACCTCCTGGTCCATCTTTTCATGGGGACAGAAGGGAAGCAGCGGCTGTGGAACCAGATCAGGTCAGGGGAAGCTGCCTTGTGGGGACAGAGGCCGAGGGATGGAGCAATGTCATGGACTGGTTGGGCACAGAGGAATGGTGGGAGGAAGCAGCCGGGGAACCAGGAAGGGAAGATGTCTCAGCCCAAGGAGTGGAGGTGGAGGAAGGATGAGCGGTCAGATGGAGAAGAGGGAGAAGCCCGGGAAGAGGAGGTGTCAGAAGCTGAAGGGATAACAGGGCTTAGTGAGCTGGGAGACTCTGAGGCAGAATGCAGTCCAGAATCGGAGGCAGAAGAGGAAGGAGGCGAGTGGGAGGAGTAAAGGTCGAGAGTGTTGGGTTGAAATCACGACAGACGAGTGGTGGGTGTCAAAGGAGAGGCGTCTGCCGGGGCAAGCCCCGGGAACTCTCTTTTATTGAATATTACAAACATTGCCACAGGTGTGCTTGTGGCTGATTGGTTGATACAAACACAAAGCATCATGTTGCTGATTGGTTAACATAGGTACATGGCGGGAATTAGATATAACATCAATCACTGATAGATCAAGGACTGGGAAACGGAGCTGGAACTAGACAGGCATGAAACCTCCTAATTAAATTATAACTAAAGATTGATATTGAAGGAACATAACATGAAGGAATACAACAATCACGTTCTGTAGATGTGGTCAGCAATGCATTAAGAACAGGTCAGGATACACTGTTTCATGAACTCAATGGGAACTGTTCAGAACATTCTCAGACTCTTGTGCAGAAGCAGAAGCGAGACTTCCCAGAATGCAAGAGAAAAAGCAATAGTGCTAAAAGCAAGACTTTCCCACAATGCCACAGTTATGTGCAGTAAGAGAACAGCAGAAAGAAAACTTCCCTTCATCTCCCCCTTTCTTTTCTTGTTTGCGAGGCGTTCCAGGTGGATAAGGCAAAAATACTTCGGGATTAGTGGTGTGCCAGCGAATGCCCGAAATAAGCCTGCCAGGGTCGATGGGACAAAAATACTTCAGGATACGTGGTTTGCCAGCGCATGCCCAAAATAAATCCGCCCACATCTCCCCTAAGGTTTACTGTTGGTGTTGCCATTTCGCAAAGTAAGCAGCATGGAGTTTACTTGGTGGTTGAGGGGGAGAGAGAAGCCAAGAGAAAAGACTTATGAGGCTAGGAACGCATTGAAGGAAACAGCATAGTAAAATAAGAATACAAATTATGAAAATAGCATATTGAAAGAGACTACGAAGCCAAGTAAGGTTTGGCAACCAAGCGGTAAGCCACTGGGTGAAAGAATCCCAGAGGCCAGGAAAACCAATGTCCTGTTTAATGTGATGTGTAAGATTTTGCAAATGAGAGATTTGGCTTTGAATGGCTCTAGAATTGTCAGTAATATTGAAACAACACATGTCATTCACTTGTTCACAGCCATAATGATGAAGCATGAGCAAATAGTGATAGCAGCACGATTTCGTAAAATTCCATTATATAGTTCACTCTGTTCTTTATTCAAAAGGTGAAGAGCTTGTGAAGTAAAATTCAAGGCTTTTTTTTTTTTTTTTTTGCTGCAGAATTAATGTTCATACGATTCCGTACAGCCAATCCAGGGACTCCTAAGAGAGAAACAGCTAAAGAGATATATTCAGACCTACTGAGAAGAGAGACAAAAGCATCACAATCATTAGTCATTTCAATAGAGCAGCGATATCTAGAGCGGGATAAATGATGCTTCTTGGGTAAAATGATGGACAAACGGCTTAAATAGCAAGGTGTGCCATGGCTGATGTATTGCTGGAATGTAATTAAACGTATAGCCAGGACACGACCAGAAGATTTCCAGTTGAGGGAAGTGCAAGCTTACTCATTAAATTGAATGGTAGCTTGTAATTGCTGTAGTAAATCTCTTCCCCACAGATTGAGGTGGATTTTCAGCACACAGGGCTGGATGTAAGCAATGGTTTCAGAGCTATCAGGCAGAGAAACAGGCAGCCACTGTACGCTTTTGGAAGAGGTTTGGGGGCCACCCACACCCCAGACTGCAGAGGCAGACTCAAGGGGCCACGTTGGGTCCCAGCAACTACTAGAAATTACAGAAACGTCTGCGCCTGTGTCAATCAAGCCTTCCAGCACAATACCATTGATTTTATACTTACGAAGAAGTTTCTTCTCACCAATCCTCTGGACTACAGCTAACAGCTGTGGAGGGAAAGAAGAGAGCTCGTGCAAATTAGTATCCATAATAGAAGCAGTAGGATGAGAAGGAGCACCACCAAATGCGCCCAAGACTCACCCTTTTTAATTGCATGGGCATATGGCTCCAGAGTTGAACCATTATTGTGCCTACATAGTCAGGATCCAGAACCCCAGGAATAACCTGGATTCCTTCCTTTGCCGCAGAAAATTTGGGTAAAATTAAACCTGCGACTTTAGGAGGCAGGGGGCCTGCCAATTGAGTGGGCATAAGCACAATTTCACCAGGTAAAGCAGAGTCTTTGGTCTCTTGATTGATCAAATCAATGGCAAATTCAGAGGGTTTGTTTTTTGAAAAGTTTGCAGCAGCAGAAATTAAAGTTGGAAATCTCTCTAATTGCCCTGGCCCGAGAGTGGGGCCGTAATGGAGTTTCCCGAACTCCTGCATTGATTAGCCCAATGATAGCCTTTGCCACATTTCGGGCACTTTTTAGAAGGTTTAGCCTTAGAGGCAGCACCATCCTTGTTTGCCCCCCCGCCAGGGGCTCTGCATTGCTTGGCAAAATGGCCTGGGCGCTTGCAATTAAAGCAGTTACCAATAGGCCTAGTGGTTGCTTGGATAGCGCCGGCAAGCAAAGACATCGCATGGCTCTGGCTACCGACATCCGCACAAGCTTGAATCATATCGGCCAGGTCATATTTAGGGCGATGTATGATTGACTGCAAAGCTTTCTTGCAATCAGTGTTTGCGTTTTCAAAGGCCAATTTTTTCATCAATTCATTTTGAGCAGTGGTGTTATCAATCTGCCTAGTGACTGATTCTTTCAATCTATCTATAAACTGATGGTATGGCTCCGAATGCTGTTGCTTAATATTTACAAAGGAGCTCAGCGGTTGCCCAGAAACAGGGACTTTCCGAAAGGCGCGTTGTACACAGGTCGCGGTGCGACTAAAATGTACAGGTGTCAGCGTTGCCTGGGCAGTTATATCAGCAAACTGACCAGCGCCATAAAGTTCATTGGCAGTATGTTGCGGATCAGACAGGGCTGAAGCGCTATGTTTAAATTCACTCTCAAACACCACATACTGAGCAGGGGACAAAAGCATGCGCATCAGGTCTTTCCAGTCCTGAGGTAGCATAATGTAACCAGTTGCTATGCCTTCTAGCATTCCCGTCACATAAAAGGATTTCAGACCAGAATCAGCAATGGCTTTCCTTAATTCCCTCATTACAGAATAAGGAAGCGATTCATAATAAATCTGCTGTTGAGCAGTTCCAGGGTTTGAATAAGAGATAGGGAAAGCAGACGGCATTTCACCTGGCCACTCAGACTCCTCCTCTAAGGACAGGAGCCCTTTCTGCCTTGCCAAAGAGAGCGCAGCGCGCACAGCTCCTATAGAGCAAACAGGGGCTGTGGCAGGAGGAGGAGGGATGGGGGGGAGGAATCAGGCTGAGGTGGAGGGATGGGGGGGATGCAGGCTGAGGAGGGAGAGACGCAGGGGGGGATTGGGTGGGCTGCAAAGGAAACGGAGGCAAAAGCTTCGGGTAAGGTGGGGGATTGTCTGCGATGGCGAAAAGTGCGGGGGCCGAGCGAGACGCCTGTGGTAATTTAGCAACAGCATCTGCACATTTCTGCCAAGTGAGCAGACAATGAATCGGAGCCCTAGGTTCTGCAAAAAAGGGTCTTTCCGATCTTTTGCCAAGTCTCTACTTCCAAAGAACCTTTCTCTGGATAGGAGGGGTATTGGCAAGAAATCTCACATAGCAATTGTTCAATTTCTTTTAAGGAAATATTAACACCCACCTCCCGCTGTCTAACTAAATAAAGCAACTCTTTAGCATGCTCTTTCTGGAATTTAGTCAATTCCCCTCCCATACTCACGAAGTAGCGCGCTGAGACTTTTGCAGTCGGGTGAAGTATGAGGTTTGGCTGCGTAAGGGATCTGGCACGTCAGGGGTCACCAGATGTTGGGTTGAAATCACGACAGACGAGTGGTGGGTGTCAAAGGAGAGGCGTCTGCCGGGGCAAGCCCCGGGAACTCTCTTTTATTGAATATTACAAACATTGCCACAGGTGTGCTTGTGGCTGATTGGTTGATACAAACACAAAGCATCATGTTGCTGATTGGTTAACATAGGTACAAGGCGGGAATTAGATATAACATCAATCACTGATAGATCAAGGACTGGGAAACGAAGCTGGAACTAGACAGGCATGAAACCTCCTAATTAAATTATAACTAAAGATATTGAAGGAACATAACATGAAGAAATACAACAATCACGTTCCGTAGATGTGGTCAGCAATGCATTAAGAACAGGTCAGGATACACTGTTTCATGAACTCAATGGGAACTGTTCAGAACATTCTCAGACTCTTGTGCAGAAGCAGAAGCGAGACTTCCCAGAATGCAAGAGAAAAAGCAATAGTGCTAAAAGCAAGACTTTCCCACAATGCCACAGTTATGTGCAGTAAGAGAACAGCAGAAAGAAAACTTCCCTTCAGAGAGGAGAGTCAGGAGAAGGAGGAGCCACCGGGGGCTCCCTCTCCTTCTGCCATAAGCCACCCTCCCTGCTTGTCTCTCAGAGCCCGGAGACTTCTGACAATGGAGGAGCAAAGGCAGGCTGCACACTGGCGCACTGTTGGATCGCTTCCCAGAAACCCCAGAGAGAAGGGGACTTGGAAAGCTGTGGGGAGCTAGGGGCCTTCTCTTTTGGCAGCTGATTTCATGGAGGAAGACCCTGTCATGGAATTCTACTCAGTATTGATCCAGGCAGAACTCCAATGTATAGTTACCAGAGTGAAAACGTAAAGACGTTGCAGGATTCCCCAAAATAGACCAGAGGCAATTGTATTTCACCCAGCAGAGCTTTACTCCTACTGAAGACAATGAGCATAATGGTCCCAAATCCAAAACATTCCGGATTGGCCCTGTCCATAAGAAATCCAGTTGCAGCAAACTTAACTGAAATTTCCCACAACTTATAATAAGTTTAAACTTCAACACTCAGCATACTCTGTACAGAACACCAGAAGGAAGAGAGAGAGAGAGAGAGAGAGAGATACCCAGGCTCCTTCTGGCTTCTTCTTATAGTCAGCATGACCTTGACAGAAGACAGAACAGAACCACTTTAACCCAGCTGTACTCAGGCTGCGATGCCTGGGTCCTTGTGCCGAAGGCCAAGCTCAGAAAGGGTGGCCCTAGGTCCCAAAAGATGATTTTCTGTGGGTATGAGCCAGGGACCAAGGGGTGGAGATTTGCCTATCCAACAGGCAATCAGTCCAGGATTCTGCTCAGCAGCAGTGCTGAGTTCTGTGAGTAGAATGGATGGACACGCATACAGGGGAACCCTGATGTTCTTTCAGAGAGTCTGCAAGACTCTGCTGATGAGGAAGAGGTAGAGGTTGAACCTGCTGCTGAGGCACAGAGTCCTGACCCAGAGCAGGTAGAGGGAAGAACTTCTCCTAAAGCTGTGAAGCTTGAACAGAGAAGTGCTCCTTCCTCACCCACAGGTTCAGCTGAGAAGTCTAAACGGCGCAGTAAGTCAGAGGGGGAGCCCTCTGAGGCCAAGGATGTTCTAGCTGGTCCTAGTGGGTCTGAGGGGGTACCTGAAACTGGGTTGAGACGTTCAGCTCGCACAACGAAAGGTAAACCTCCTGACAGGTTTGCAGTCACAAGTGTGTGGGTTGGCATGGCACAGTGTGAACCCGAGAGTTTTGAGGGTGTTCAGAAACTGCCTCAGGAAGAAGCCAGGAAATGGCATGAGGCAATGCAGAAGGAGATGAGCTCAATGGAGTCTCTAGGTGTGTTCTCCCTCACAACGTTGCCAGTGGGCAAACGGGCCGTGAGCAGCCGCTGGGTTTACCGTCTTAAACCCACAGGAGCAGGGGAACCACAGTACAAGGCTAGGCTAGTAGCCAGAGGGTTCACGCAGCAAAAGGGGCTGCATTATACTGAGGTATATGCTCCTACCTCCAGAAGTGAAACTCTGCACATGCTCTTAGCGATTGCTGCACAGAGTTTTTCAAGTGAATGACTTTGATGTGGATGTGGCCTATTTGAACTCAGAGCTCCAGGAGGATCTGTACATGCTTCCTCCTCCAGCGTTTGAGGGCAATGAGCCGAATACTGTATGGAAGTTTCACAAGTCCATTTATGGCTTAAAGCCTTAGAGAAGCTAGGTTTCAAGAAGAGTCTGAATGAAGCCTTAGAGAAGCTAGGTTTCAAGAAGAGTCTTGCTGACAGCTGCCTGTACCTTAAAGGGTCAGGAGAATCACAGGAAATGGTGTTGATCTTTGTTTATTACATCATTCACATCTCAGGGGCAAACAAACAGGTGCAGAAGTTTGCCAAAGAGCTTGGAAAACGGTTTCAGCTCAAGAACCTGGGTGCAGTAAGGATCTACTTAGGTGTTCAGATAGACAGGACTGAAGATGGAAGCTTCTTGCTCAGTCAGAAAGGCAAGATTGAGCAGTTGCTTGAGAAGTTCAGAATGTCTGATTGTGCAGGGGTTAGGGCACCTATGGAGACGAGCTACATGAAAGACAGTCGGCTAGCAGAACGCGTTGAGTGCGAGAACGCTGAGCTCTTCCAGTCCGCTCTGGGTAGTCTGTTGTATCTGTCCCAATGGAGCAGGCCGGACATTGCTTTTGCTACCAATCTGCTCAGTAGGGAAGCATCAAAGCCCAGTGTAAATGCCTGGCATGGTATCAAGCGGGTGCTGCGTTACCTGCAGGATACCAAGGATGTCATTCTCTCTTTTTTTAAAAAAAGATATTTATTAAGATTTTCAAAATGTTACAAAACAAAAACAAAAAAAGAAAAAAGTACAAAAATAAAAATAGCTAAAAACAACTCAATCTTTCCATTACTTATTTTTCATTAGCTAATTTCCGGAACTCCTCACGCCTCCCTTTTTTTGTATTCCAGTTCAGTTTGTTGGTTCAGCAAATCCTTACCCTCTTTGTTTATCCTAGTCTTTAATCTTAAAGTATTGTAACGTTAAATTTTTACCTATTAATAATCCATTTTTCATATTCCCTTATAGTATTACAGCTGAAAACCACTTAATTTCTATCCAACATCATTCTAACATTCATTAATTTTACAATATTTCTGTAGATAGTCCTTAAATTTCTTCCAATCTTCTTCCACTGACTCTTCTCCCTGGTCTCGGATTCTGCCAGTCATTTCTGCCAGTTCCATATAGTCCATCACCTTCATCTGCCATTCTTCCAGAGTGGGTAGATCTTGTGTCTTCCTATACTTTGCAATAAGTATTCTTGCTGCTGTTGTGGCATACATAAAAAAAGTTCTGTCCTTCTTTGGCACCAATTGGCCGACTATGCCCAGGAGAAAGGCCTCTGGTTTCTTCAAGAAGGTATATTTAAATACCTTTTTCAATTCATTATATATCATCTCCCAGAAAGCCTTAATCCTTGGGCACGTCCACCAAGGACTTCAGTCTCAAGCTGTCAGCTGCAGGTGAGACGGCGCTTACTTGCTGGGCAGATAGCGACGGGGCGAATCTGGATGACAGGAAGTCCGTATCTGGGATGGTAATAAAGTTTGGGGAATCTCTAGTTGGGTGGAAGTCCCGGAAGCAAAGTCTCATTGCACTGTCCTCTACTGAGGCTGAGTTCATTGCACTGTCGGAATTTTTTATTTTTTTTTAAATGATATTTATTCCAAGTTTAAAATTACAAAAAACAGAAAGAAAAACAATACAAAATACAAAGAAAAATTTAACCATAACTGTAATGAGTATGAGTTACTCGTGCGTAAACTGGTGCCTCTCTAGGCTAATTTGCCTTGTTAAACCTTTCTGACTGCACAACCCTCTCTCATCATGACTGTCTCAGTCACTAGCAGAATCCGTCAGTGGGCGTTTCTTGAATCTCTTCCAACATAAGAGTTGTTTGACACCCAATCTCCTCCGCCTCTCACTGCGCGGGAGCCTTCTGCGCAGGGTGGGCGTGGGTAGCGGGGGACCTGTCCCCTCCTCACTGAGTTCCAGTGAAGAGCCCGTGAGCCCTCTCTCCGATTTTCCCATCTGCTCACTTTTGTTCCTGGTGTTGCGCGTAAATGCTTCCCCTCCACTGAGTCGCCTCCCCCTGCTGCTGGGTCCTTCTCCAGCATCATCCAGGAGCCTCCCCTTCGCCTCCCGCTCTGATGTCAGTTCCCTGACATCCACCTCCCCCCCAGAATCCCCTCCACCCCTGGGCCGACCTGTGGGACCAACTTCGTCCCCTTCGTCGGCCGACGAGGCGGGGAAACCCCGGAAGGAACTGTCACCATCTTCTGTGGGTTCGAAACCCGCTTCCCAATCGCTCTTCCACCTACCAACGGGGTGGTCTTCCCCGTCTGATGCTTCTTCCTCCGAAACCTCTCCTCCCTCCTCGGAGTCAGAAAATCCCTCAAAAACCTCTTCCTCATCTGTGGTTCCAAATTGCTCCTCCCAGAATCTCTCCAGGGGTTTGGGTTTGTCCGGGAACCGGCGGTGGAATACCTCCACCAGATACCTGTCCTCGACGGCTTCCGTGGGGACCCACGTGTTTTCGGACCTGGGTTCCCCTTCCCACGCTACCAAATACTCCACCCGGCGCCCTTGCCACCTTGAATCCAGTATTTCCGTGGCCCTGTGGTGGTGTTCCCTTTCTTCTGCCTGCGGGTGTGTGGTGACTTCTCCCTCTTGCCCCTGGAATTCCCGCCCTTCCCTATGCGGTGAAAGCAGGGACCTATGGAAAACCGGGTGTATTTTCATGCTATCAGGCAACCTGAGCTTAAATGCCACGGGATTAACTTGCTGTGTTACCTCAAAAGGTCCCAGCCGTCTGGGCTGCAACTTCTTGCACCCCCCTTTGAAAGGTAGCCCTTGGGTGGACAACCACACCCGGTCCCCCACCCGTATGGTCTCTGGGTGTCTCGCCGTCGAGAAACCCACCTCCACCTGCAGTAAGCTCATGAGTTTCCTCCAGAACCGGGAAGTAAATTGTTTTCCGCGGTCGGAGATAACCCTCAAGGGGCGCCATGCAGCCGGAATATGTGCTCCACAAACAACCGGGCTGTTTCCTCTGCCGTTACAGCATGTGAGCAAGCTATAAAATGGCACATTTTTGTCAGTAGGTCGACCACTACCATGACTGCTGTCTTCCCCCGGGACTTGGGCAAATCTGTCATAAAATCAATGGATACCACCTCCCAGGGTTTCCCCGGCGTGGGTAAGGGTTCCAGCAATCCTGTGGGGGCAGCCCGCTCCCCCTTTGCCCTTTGGCAGCGGTCGCACCCCCGTACATATTCCCGTACATCCTCCCTCACCCTGGGCCACCAGAACTGCCTGGTCACCAGCAGCATGGTTTTGTGCTGTCCAAAGTGCCCAGCTGTAGGGTTGTCGTGGAGTTGTTTGAGTACCTTTCCCCTCAGGGTCTCCCCCGGTACGTACAGCGCTCCCCTATAGTACAGTACCCCTTCCTTCTCCTCAAACCCTTCTTGGGTCCCTCTTCCGTCTCGTAGTTCCCGGATTTTAGTTTGCGCGAACACGTCGTTTCTGGTCAGCCCGGCTAGTTCTCGTTTCCCCACCAAAGTTCCCCACACACCCATCGGTCCTCGGGGATCACGTGTCGTTTCTCCGGCGGCCCCTCTCCTTCCAGGTACTCCGGTTTACGCGAGAGAGCGTCTGCTCTTACGTTTTCTTCTCCGGGCACGTAGCGGATTTCAAAGAAAAACTTGGAGAACTCCTGTGCCCATCGAATCTGTCTCTGGTTGAGTACTCGTGCGGTTCTCCAGTACTCCAAGTTCTTGTGATCTGTGCAAACCTGGATCTGTTGTTGCGCCCCTATCAGTAGATGATAGACGCGGCCAACGATGAAAGGCCGCGTAGATTGCCAGCAGTTCGCGGTCATACACTGTATAGTTTTGCTCCGACTTGCTCAGTTTTCTCGAGAAAAAGGCACACGGTTTCCATTCCTGCTTTCCCTTCCCTGGCTGCAAAAGGACCGCCCCTACGGCTCTGTCTGACGTGTCGGTCTCTAGCCTCAGGGGTTTCTCCAGATCTACGTGCAGGAGTTGCTCTTCCGATGCGAACGCCTTCTTCAGTTTTTCGAAGGATTGCTGGGCCTCTTCTGTCCACACAAACTTCTTTTGCTACTGAGACAATCCGTGATGGGCGCTGTCAAGTGGGCAAAGTTCTTGATGAACTTCCTGTAGAAGTTGCTGAACCCTAGGAACCTCTGTACGTCCTTCCGTGTTTTGGGAGCCTTCCACTCCAGCACTGCCTGCACCTTGCTTGGGTCCATCGCTAAGCCTTTGTCAGACAACTTGTACCCCAGAAACTCGACTTCTCTGGCGTGAAACTGACATTTTTCCAGCTTGACCCACAACTGGTGCTTCTGCAGTCGTTGTAACACTTCCCTGACGTCTCTAACATGTTGTTCCTCATTGTCCGAATAAATTAAGACGTCGTCCAAGAAGGCTACGCAGTTCTTGTACAGCAGAGACCCCAACACATGGTGCATGAAAGCTTGAAAACAGGCGGAGCCCGACTGTAATCCAAAAGGCATAACTAAGTACTCAAAGGCACCTAGGGGTGTGAACATTGTGGTCTTCCATTCGTCCCCCTCCCTCATCCTGATCAAATTGTATGCGCCCCTGAGGTCCAGCTTGGTAAAAATTTTGCCTTTCCTCACTCGCGTTAAAATGTCGTCAATCCTGGGCATTGGGAAGGTCACGGGTTCTGACACCAAATTGACAGCTCTATAGTCCACTACGAGCCTGGGTTTATTTGTGTCCTTTTTGTCCACAAAGAACACCGGACTGCCCCCTACTGCCTTTGATTCTCTTATGAAGCCTCTTTTCAGGTTCTTGTCGATAAATTCTCGCAACTCCTTCATCTCCCTGTCTGACATGGCGTACAGCTTACCCACTGGCAGCTGAGCCCCCGGAAGCAAGTTGATCTGGCAGTCAAAGGGCCTATGGGGTGGCAGTCTATCTGCCTCTTTTTCGCTGAAGACCTCCCGCAGATCTGCGTATTGTGGCGGCACCTCCCCTTTCCGCTCCACCGCCATCCCAGCCACCCTGGCCACGGTCATTCTTGGGGCTTCCCCTAGACAGTGTTCCAGGCAGTAAGCTGACCCAAAGGTGACTGTCCTCTGATGCCACGCCACCACTGGATCATGTTGTGCTAGCCAGCTCATCCCTAATATTATTGGGGGTCCTGCTAGCGAGGCGACGTGAAAGGCGATGGTCTCCGAGTGCCTGGACACCCTCATTCTCATTGGCGGGGTTTGGTGTGTCACTTCCCCTCCTAGAAGCTCCCTGCCATCAATGGTGGTCACTTGCAAGGGAAAATCCAAAGGCAGTAAGTGGAGCTGGTGCTCTAATGCAAAGTCCTTGCTGAAGAAATTACATGAGCTGCCTGAATCCAGCATGCCTTTCACCTTGACTGGGTGCCCGTTCGGGAGTTCTAGCACCACTTCGATGGCTATTGCCGCCTTGGGGGGGTCTGGTTGGGGCACTTTTACTGGTGGCTGGCTTGGCTGTTGTGCCCTTTGATTGGCAGCCAAGTGTTCTCGTTTCCCTGTTCCTGTTCCTTTACCACCTCCTCCTCACCCCCTGCGGTTCCCACCATTCCTTGCCAAGCCTTTCTTTGAGGGCAGGCTCTGGCAAAATGGCCTGGCCGCTGGCAAAGGTAACACTTTGGTTTTCCAATCCTTTCCCTCCTTTTTGCGCCCTTCGCTGGTGCTTGAAACTTCCCCCGCGCGCGCCCCATCTATTTCCATTGGCTCTGCTGGCGGGGAGGGCTGCCTTGGTATTTCAGGAATGCGGTAGTCATGGCAACGTTGCTCTCTCCCTTCCCGCCTCTCCTGGGCCCGCGCTTCCTGGCGCACGCCAATCGCAAGCACAGCCTTGGTCAGCTGATCCATCCCCTGTGGGCGGGGTGCGCGGGAAAGTTCATCCTTAACCGTTGGGGACAACCCCTCCTCGAATAACATCTGTATGGGTTCGGAGCCCAGTTCCCACCCGAGGCGGTGAACTATCATGGCAAAGCGCGACCAGTAGTCCCTAACTGACTGGCTCCCCTGTTTACAGTTCATCAATTCCCGCTTTGTCACACTTTTTGAACATCAGTGGAAAACATCGCGTCCATCGCTTGGAAGAATTTCCTCAGGTCCTGCATGGCGGAATTCTGCGTCGCCATAAGGGGTCTGACCCATTCCCTGGCCCCGTCCTGCAGGTGACCCACAACATATGCCACCCGCGCCGCGTCGTCTTCAAAATCGTTATGCTGCAAGTCCAATGCGTACTCTATTTCCGTTCTAAACGCACTGTATTCTTGCGGCTTCCCCCCAAACTTGTGCACCAGTCCCGGTACCTTCCTTGCTATGGGGGTGGGTCTGACCTGTGCATCTTGAGACCGCCTTTCGTCCAGCCGTGCCGTCAGAATGGCCACATGCTGCTCCAAATCTCGGTTCCTCTCCTCCAGCGTTTGCCCTCCAGCTGCTCCCCCTTGGGTGCCTGCTTCTCCGGGCTTGCTCATGATGCTGCCTGCCTGCTGCTGCGCACGAGCAACTTTCAGGTACTGACGGATTGCTGTGATGAGTATGAGTTACTCGTGCGTAAACTGGTGCCTCTCTAGGCTAATTTGCCTTGTTAAACCTTTCTGACTGCACAGCCCTTTCTCATCATGACTGTCTCAGTCACTAGCAGAATCCGTCAGTGGGCGTTTCTTGAATCTCTTCCAACATAAGAGTTGTTTGACACCCAATCTCCTCCGCCTCTCACTGCGCGGGAGCCTTCTGCGCAGGGTGGGCGTGGGTAGCGGGGGACCTGTCCCCTCCTCACTGAGTTCCAGTGAAGAGTCCGTGAGCCCTCTCTCCGATTTTCCCATCTGCTCACTTTTGTTCCTGGTGTTGCGCTTAAATGCTTCCCCCTCCACTGAGTCGCCTCTCCCCCTGCTGCTGGGTCCTTCTCCAGCATCATCCAGGAGCCTCCCCTTCGCCTCCCGCTCTGATGTCAGTTCCCTGACAATAACAAAGCGAGAAATAACAAGAAAAAAGTGAACAATAAAATAGAATAAAAAAGAAGACGAAACAAAAAATATAAAAATGCATTGAGTTAAAATGGAACAAAAACAGATTAAACCTTTACATAACCTTTTCCCTTTACTTATTTCCATGACCTCCTCTCACCTCCCAATTTTGTATTCTAGTTCAGATCGTATTTCCAGCAAATCCTTCTAACCTTATTTTCATTTACGTATTTTAATTTAAAATAATGTAGTTAAACATCCTCTGTTTCATCAATTTCATCAACTCATTTTTGCTTAATCCTTTATATCATATCTACCAAAACGACCTAATTTTCTTTTTCCAACATCTTTCTAACAGTCTTTTATATTACAATATTTTTGAAGGTATATTTTGAATTTTTTCCAATCTTCTTCCATCGACCCTTCTCCCTGGTCTCGAATTCTGCCAGTCATCTCAGCCAGTTCCATATAGTCCATCACTTTCATCTGCCATTCTTCTCGGGTGGGTAATTCTTGTGTCTTCCAGTACTTTCCGATGAGTATTCTTGCTGCTGTTGTAGCATACATAAAAAAAGTTCTATCCTCCCTTCGCACCAATTGGCCGACCATGCCCAGAAGAAAGGCCTCTGGTTTCTTCAGAAAGGTATATTTAAATACCTTTTTCAATTCATTATATATCATTTCCCAGAAAGCCTTAATCCTTGGGCATGTCCACCAAAGGTGAAAAAATGTGCCCTCAGTCTCTTTACATTTCCAACATTTACTATCTGGCAAATGATAGATTTTTGCTAGCTTGACTGGGGTTAAGTACCACCTGTAAATCATTTTCATTATATTTTCTCTTAAGGCATTACAAGCCGTAAATTTCATACCTGTGGTCCATAACTGTTCCCAGTCAGCAAACATAATGTTATGTCCAAAGTCTTGTGCCCATTTAATCATAACAGATTTAACCGTTTCATCCTGTGTATTCCATTTCAACAGCAAGTTATACATTCTTGATAGATTCTTAGTTTTAGGATCTAACAATTCTGTTTCCAATTTTGATTTTTCCTCCTGGAAACCAATCTTCTTATCTAAATTATAAGCCTCCCTTATTTGATAATAATGAAGCCAGTCTCGAACTTTAGTTTTTAATTTGTCAAAGCTCTGCAGCTTTAATCTATCTCCATCTTGTTCTAAAATTTCACAATATTTTGGCCAATTTGTCTCCATATTGATTTTTCTCAGAGCCTTAGCCTCCATTGGTGACAGCCACCTTGGTGTTTTACTTTCCAACAAATCCTTATATCTCACCCAGACATTAAACAATGCTTTCCTGACAATATGGTTCTTAAAGGCCTTATGTGCTTTAACCTTGTCATACCATAAGTATGCATGCCATCCAAAGACATTGTTAAAACCTTCTAGATCCAAAATGTCCGTGTTTTCAATAAGCAGCCAATCTTTCAGCCAGCAAAATGCGGCTGATTCATAATAAAGTTTAAGATCTGGCAGGGCAAATCCACCTCTTTCTTTAGCATCAGTTAAAATCTTAAATTTTATTCTGGGCTTCTTGCCCTGCCAGACAAATCTCGAAATATCTCTCTGCCATTTCTTGAAACAGTCCATCTTGTCCAAAATCTGCAATGTTTGAAACAAAACAACATCTAGGCAATACATTCATCTTTATCACAGCAATTCGGCCCAACAATGATAACTTCAATTTTGACCATATTTCCAAATCCTTTTTCACTTCCATCCAGCATTTTTCATAATTATCTTTAAATAAATTCACATTTTTAGCAGTCATATGAACCCCTAGATATTTCACTTTCTTAACCAATATTAATCCTGTCTCCTTCTGAAACCTCTCTTTCTCAATCTCTGTAAGATTTTTCTCTAACACCTTGGTTTTCACCTTATTCAACTTAAATCCTGCTACTTGACCAAATTCTTGAATTAATTACAATACTCTTTTGGTACTGGATTCTGGCTCCTGTAATGTCAAAACCAAATCATCAGCAAAAGCTTTCAATTTATACTGTTTAGCTCCGAGTTGTATACCTTTAACCAATTGGTCTTTCCTGATCATGTTAAGCAAAACCTCCAGGACCGATATAAAAAGCAATGGGGAGATTGGGCAACCCTGTCTTGTTCCTTTCTCAATCTTAAACTCTTCTGTAACTACGTTGTTTACAATCAACTTAGTTTTTTGTTCTGAATAAATTGCACCTATACCGTTTTCAAAACCTTGGCCTACCCCCATTCCCTGTAAATTTTTCTTCATAAAACTCCAAGAAATATTATCAAAGGCTTTCTCCGCATCCACAAATATTAGGACTGCTTTAGTGTTAATATTAACTTGTAATTTTTCTAAAATGTTAATTATATTCCTCGTATTATCTGACAAATGCCTCCCCAGGAGAAAGCCCGCTTGGTCCTTATGAATTTCTTCCACCAATACCTTTTTTAATCTTTTAGCCATAATTTCCGCAAAAATTTTGTAATCCACATTAAGTAGAGATATGGGACGGTAGTTCTTAAGCTGTGTCTTTTCCACTTCTGTTTTCGGTATAAGTGTAATATAAGCTTCTTTCCACGACTCGGGTGCCTTCCCCCCCCAATATTTCATTGCAAACTTCTTACAAAGGCTGTATTAACCATTCTTTCAAAGATTTATAGTACTTTGCAGTCAAACCATCTGGCCCTGGAGATTTGCCCAATTTCATATTCTGAATGACTCCTTCCACCTCTTGATCAGTTATTATACAATTTAGCATTGATTTGCTCTCTTGAGAGATTTTTTGTAATCCATTTGTTCTCAAAAACCGATCAATGTCCATTTCTTTCTGAGTCTCCTGCGTGTATAACTGTTTAAAATACTTCTGAAAACACTTTCTAATCTCCGCAGGGTTCTGTATGTTCTTTCCCTCTACTACCAAATTCGTAATAGTATTAAGTTTTTGTCTTTTTTCATTTGCCATGCCAGCAGTTTCCCACACTTGTTCGCTGATTCAAATGTCTTTTGTCTCATCTGTTTAATCTTCCATTCTATTTCCTGATTTGTCAGTTTCATATATTGTACTTGATATAGCTTTATCTCTTTTAAGATCTCCTGTGATTTCGGTTTCATCCTCAGTCTCTTTTCTCCATCCTTTATTTTCTCCAAGATTTTTTCCCTTTTCTCATTTTGAACTCTTTTCCTAATTGCATTTTGTTGTATCAGAAACCCTCTCATAACTGCTTTACTTGCATCCCAAATCACTCTTTTTTCAGTCGTAGTATTCATGTTTATCTCAAAATAGTCTCTCAAGTTTTTCTGGGCCTTTTTAACAATTTCCTCATTCCTAAACAAGGAGTCGTTCATCCTCCATCTGAAAGATCCAATTGGCGTTAATATCATTTCCATCTTCACTGCATTATGATCAGAGCAAATTTTAGGGCAAATTTCCACTTTTTTTATCTTCGGGGCCAGTCCCCTAGTTATCCAAATTTGGTCTATTCTTGTCCATGTCATTTTAGCTTCAGAGAAGAAGGTTCCTTCTCTTTCCAAGAGGTTCTTTGTTCTCCAAATATCTACAAGATCCATATTGTCAGTCATTTCGAAAAATGTCTTTGGTAGTCTGCCATCTTTCGTCACCGTTTGTCTTTGGGCTTTATCCATATTCGTAGACACTACTCCATTCATATCTCCCATCAAAATCATATTGTAATCCAAATAGTCCAGTAAAATTTCATGCAGTTTCTTAAAGAATTCTGATTTTTCCTCATTTGGTGCATAGATACCTAATGTCAAAAACTTCTGACCTTGTAGTTGTATTTCAATTGCGATAAATCTTCCTTGGTCATCTTTAAATAAAAATTTCGGTGACAGGCTTTCCTTTGCATAAAGTACTACTCCTCTTTTTTTAACGTTATCTGATGAAATAAATTCTTCTCCCAATCTTTTATTGGTCAAAATTTTCCGATGTAGCCTTGTCACGTGCGTTTCTTGTAAACAAATCAAGTCCAAATGTTCTTTTTTTAATATATGAAAAATTCTCCCCCTTTTTTCCCGAGAGTTCAGTCCATTAACATTCCAACTTAATACTTGCAGTGTCATGGTGTACTTCCTTCTCCCCCAACAGCCCCCAACAATTTGTCTATATCTGTCGGTGGCGTTGATTTCCCTTTCTTTTGTAGACTCTTGTCCTGTGCGGCAGGCTCTTTTCCAAGTCCTTTCTGTAGGTCTTCTTCGTATGTGCTCAGAAACTTATTTTTTTCCTCCACTGATCTTATTTTTGTCTTTCTTCCTTTGAAACTAAAAGATAGGCCTTGAGGGAATTCCCACCTGAAGAGGATCTTACTTTTTCTCAACAGGGCCACCAAATCTCAACAGGGCCCTGGTGGCATTGCACTGTCGGAATTGTGCAGGGAACTGGACAATGCCTGGTGCAAAAGATCTATGGGGATTGTTGCCTGCCCATCACTGTTTGGGAAGACAATCAACCCTGTCTGAAGTTGGCAGAATCTGGGCAGTTTAAGGCCAGAACCAAGCATCTAGACATACATTTCCAGAATGCGTGTCAAAGTGTCAATCCTATTGAAAGCAATCCTATCGAAACAACACAGCAATTAAGAGGAAGGAAAGAACAGAGCATTGTGTAGCAGATCATATTTCTGCTGTCTCAGAAGAGGACATTTCCTTTTTTTTTAGGGTCCAGTGTGCTTTGAAGATGTCACTGTTTGTTTCACGGACGAGGAGTGGGCGTTGCTGGATCCTGACCAGAGAACTCTGCATAAGCACGTCATGGAGGAGAATCGTGGGATCGTGGCCTCTCTTGGTAAGGCTCCCTGTGGGATCGTCCTATCTGCATGGAAATTCAAAAAATACCTCTATGTAACAAACCTCATACATTTCCACATAGCTCAACAGCGCCCAATACAACACCTGGGAACCTAACACTCCCACAATAAACCTTGAACAGCAAATTCCAGTTTTTTCTGTGAACCATCTTCCTCCAGTTCTGCCTTTTTATACCACGGTTGGGTGTCTGAACTGCCCAGGCATCTTAAATGTCAACTTCAGTGTTGGTATCTGAAGAAGTGTGCATGCACACGAAAGCTCATACTAATAACAAACTCAGTTGGTCTCTAAGGTGCTAGTGGAAGGAATTTTTTTTATTTAGCTTCAGAGTTGTGCGGAAAGATAAGTAGCTTCTGTCAAGTTTTCTGTTTTTGTTTTTGCTGCTGTCAGTCTTGGGTTGACCAGAGAGACGACTGACATTGGAGATGGAGGGGATGCCATGACTGGGCCAAACAAAATCCATCCCAGAGAAGAGCCAGGCTTATTGAATCTCAGGTAGTAGTAGCAGTGATAGTAATAATAATAATAATAATAATAATAATAATAGTAATAGTAATTTTTATTTTTACTTTGCCCATCTGGCTGGGTTGCCCCAGCTGCTCTGGGGGGCTTCCAACACTTATATAAACCAGAAACATTAATCATAACAATCTGTTCCCATATAAAAAGTACATTAACTTTAAAATGAACAACTTACACTAGTGGCCAAAATTGTGGAAACCTTTTGGAGAAAGTGTATTTCAGAGCTCATAACACCACTTTTTTGGGAGTAATAGCATAAAACTATATATCAATAGAAAGATAATTTAATGAAGAATGTAATGATTTTCTTCTGTCATGCAGGCACAGTCTCTCATTCTTCGATCATCACTTGCTGTTGTGCACCTTTTCCTGCCTTTACCAGTCTGATTTTGGAGTGACTGAGTCCCTTATACCTCTTCAAAAATATAGACCAGCTTTGGTTAAGTTTCCCCCAATCTTTCTTCTAATTTCTTCATACCTGTAGCCTTGTTCACTTAATAGTACAATTTTACATCTCTTTCTGGGTAACTACCAACCAAATTGATAGCAATCACATAATACACTGACAAAAGTCAACCTAAGCAAGTTGTGCTTCCCTTTTCTGGTTATATGTCTATAACTTTTGATAGAATACAGATAATTGAACAAACTTTGTTGCACTACATTCTTGATTAAATTATCTTTCCATTGCTATATAATATGATGGTATTACAGTTATACCTCGGGTTACAGTCGCTTAAGGTTGCGTGTTTTCGGGTTGCGCACTGAGCCGAACCTGAAAGTACCGGAATGGGTTACTTCCAGGTTTCAGTGCTCGCACATGCGCAGAACCACCAAATTACGACCCACGCATGCGCAGATGCAATGCTGCAGGTGGCGAACGCTGCGAGTTGTGAACATGTCTCCCACACGGATCATGTTTGCAACCCGAGCATCCACTGTACTCCAAAAGAAGTGGTGTTATGAGCCATCAAACATCTGAAATGCACTTTTTTCTAAAAGGCTTTCACAATTTTGTTGTTGTTGTTTAGTCGTTTAGTCGTGTCCGATTCTTTGTGACCCCATGGACCAGAGCACGCCAGGCACCCCTGTCTTCCACTGCCTCCCGCAGCTTGGTCACAATTTTACCACTACAGTATATCAAAGAAAGCAACATTCAAGAACCCATCAGAATCTAATAAGAAATATGTTGGTTAATGACAAGCCACAAAGGTAATGAACACACACCCAACTCCCTTCAGTTCTTCTTCATTTGTTCCTGAGGCTCTAATCCCTTTTTGTCTCCATTGCAGATTGTGATGAATTGGAAATCGAGAACAAAGCTGAACACGACAAAATCCCCAGAGTGGAGAAGCCATGCAAAAATTTGGAGTGTGGAGACAGCTGTACTCAGAGCTCCAATCTCACTAAGCATCAGAGAATTCATACAGGAGACAAACCCTATCAGTGCATGGAATGTGGGAAGAGCTTCAGTTGGAGCTCCCATCTCACATACCATCAGAGAAGTCATACAGGGGAGAAACCCTATAAGTGTGTGGAATGTGGAAAGAGCTTCAGTCAGAGCTCCTCTCTCACTTCCCATCAAAGAATTCATACAGGGGAGAAACCCTATCAGTGCATGGAATGTGGAAAGAGCTTCAATAAGAACTCCAATCTCACTTCTCATCAGAGAATTCATACAGGGGAGAAACCCTATCAGTGTGGGGAATGTGGAAAGAAATTCATTACAAGCTCCAGTCTCACTTCCCATCAGATAATTCATACAGGAGAGAAACCCTATCAGTGTGGGGAATGTGAAAAGAGCTTCAGTCACAGCTCTGCTGTCACTAAGCATCGGAAACTTCATACAGGGGAGAAACCCTATCAGTGCATGGAATGTGGGAAGAGCTTCAGTAGCAGCTCCAATCTCACTTCCCATCATAGAATTCATACAGGGGAGAAACCCTATCATTGTCTGGAATGTGGAGAGAGCTTCAATACAAGCTCCCTTCTCACTTCCCATCAGATAATTCATACAGGAGAGAAACCCTATCAGTGTGGGGAATGTGAAAAGAGCTTCAGTCACAGCTCTGCTGTCACTAAGCATCAGAAACTTCATACAGGGGAGAAACCCTATCAGTGCATGGAATGTGGAAGGAGCTTCACTGATAGCTCTTCTCTCACTTCCCATCAGAGAATTCATACAGGTGAGAAACCCTATCAGTGTGGGGAATGTGGAAAGAGTTTCCGTCACAGTTCTGATGTCACTAAACATCAGAGAAGTCATACAGGGGAGAAACCCTATCAGTGTGGGGAATGTGGAAAGAGCTTCAGGACGAGCTCCCATCTCACTAAGCATCAGAGAAATCATACAGGGGAGAAACCCTATCAGTGTGGGGAATGTGGAAAGAAATTCATTACAAGCTCCAGTCTCACTTCCCATCAGATAATTCATACAGGAGAGAAACCCTATCAGTGTGGGGAATGTGAAAAGAGCTTCAGTCACAGCTCTGCTGTCACTAAGCATCAGAAACTTCATACAGGGGAGAAACCCTATCAGTGTGGGGAATGTGGGAAGAGCTTCAGTCAGAGCTCCAATCTCACTTCTCATCAGAGAATTCATACAGGGGAGAAACCCTATCAGTGTGGGGAATGTGGAAAGAGCTTCAGGGAGAGCCCTGGTCTCACTAAGCATCAGAGAATTCATACAGGGAGAAACCCTATCAGTGCATGGAATGTGGAAAGAGCTTCAGTCAGAGCTCCAATCTCAATTCCCATCAGAGAATTCATACAGGGAGAAACCCTATCAGTGTGGGGAATGTGGAAAGAGCTTCAGTCACAGCTCTGCTGTCACTAAGCATCAGAAACTTCATACAGGGGAGAAACCCTATCATTCTCTGGAATGTGGAGAGAGCTTCAATACAAGCTCCCTTCTCACTTCCCATCAGAAAATTCAAGAGAAATTCTTTTGCTAATTTTGGAATTAGTGCAACATCAATGAAATTGGAGGGAATATGCTGGAAAGGAACTAAATTGGCTTTAGTAGAAATGATTTCAAGGAGATATGTATGAATATGATGTAAAGTTTGAAATTTTAAGATTTTTAAGATAAGATAAGGTTAAAGAGATTAAGGTAAATTGAATAACAGATTATATTAAAAGATGGAAAGGTTATCTTGATTAATAAATAAGAGAGATTGTGAAGATTAATCATTTAAATTAAAATTGAGAAACATGGGAAGAATTTGCTGAAATAACGAATTAAACTAGAATACAAAAAGGGAGGTGTGAGGAGGTTCAAGAATTAAGCAAATGAAAAGTTGCAATCTGAGATTTGTATTTTTCTTCTTTCTTTTTTGGGCTTTTTTCCTTTTCTTTTATTCCTTGCTGTATATTTTTTTCTGTGTGTCTTGTGTTTTTTTGTGTGTCTATGTATTGATGAAATTTTGAATAAATATCATTTTAAAAAAAGAAAGAAAATTCATACAAGAAAGAAACACTATCAGTGCGGGGAATGTGGAAAGAGCTTTAGTCAGAGCTCCAATCTCAATTCCTATCAGAGAATTCATACAGGGGATAAACCCTTCATTCTATAGCTTTAGGAGCCATGCTAATACGCACCTTTTTAACCAGGCCTTTGGCTGATTGACATCTAAGGCCCTTTTAACATGTGGTGGGGAGTTGACTTACTGATGTGTATTTTGTGTTTTTATGTTGTGTTTTTACGTTGTGCTTTTATATTGTAACTGTCCTGAGACATGTGGGAACAGGAGCCAACACTTATAGGCTGAGGGGTTTTTGCCCCCAATAGTATATTTGAGGGGGCCACCCCCCCCAGTTGATAGGCATTGCCATTCCAATGCCCTTTATGCATCATGTGATTGATTGTGCAAGGCAGGCCTTACCTGGCCCCTTCCTCCAATATTTTATTCAAGTTGGCACCACTGGGTCGGGTGGTAGACAAATTAAATAAATACATAAATCACCTTCCTTTGCACATGTTTCAGCCTGTCAATATCCTTATTTTTATCATTTTTAATATTTATGTGCCTTTCATCTGAAGATTTCACAACATAAACATACAAGATAAAAGCATGGCTTTCTCAAAAACAAGAAAAGCCAGAGAAATCTCTCCTCCCTTTTTCTGGATGGAGTTACAAACTTTGTTGATCAGGGAACAGCTGTGGAAATAATGCATCTTGATTTCAGTAAGGCTTTTGACGAAGTCCCCATAATATTTTTGCCTTTAAGCTTCTAAAATGTGGGCTGAATGAGGAAACTGTTAGGTGGATTTGAGTAACCGAACCCAAATTGTCCTCCTCCATGGTTCCTCATCATCCTGGGGGAAAGTGACAAGAGGGGTGCTGCAGGGTTCTGTCCTGGGCCCGTTGTTGTTCAACGTCTTTATGAACGACTTGGATGAAGGAACTGAGGGGGTGCTCATCCCATTTGCCAATGACACGGAACGGGGAGCACAGGCCAATGTGGCAGAAGGCAGAATGAAGCAACCAGAAATCACCTCAACCCGATGGACTGGTGACCCCCTCCTCCTTTTCCTCTCCCCCCAAGCCATCAATACAGCTAACACGATCAATATTCCCCCCAGCCTCACACCTCCACAGAGATTCCCACCCAACACCAGTCCAGGTGACATCAAAAGACACTCCCCATTACCCAACAATCTACAACTCACTCTCAGCACCCCTCCCCATGCCTTAGTAAGTAAAATAATTCCCCTTGTTGCCAGGATTTTTAAGGTACCAGTGAGCCACTCAAATTGTGTCCCAGAATTGACAGACGCAGCAGTGGAGAAAAAGAAAGTGATATTTATTGCTGAGCAATAAGTGACCCAGTGGAATCCTTTCCCAAAGACTGGGCCCTGGGCTCCAGCGCCCTGAGGCTTTATACCTGAGTACATACATGACATAATCGATACAATTGCACACGGCAGCAAAAAGAAAACCAATGAGAGCATTCAAGCCTTGCCCCCTGATCATGTAAAGAGTTCCCTCCCAACTTCTGCTTTTTCAGTCTGAACATGCATTTAACCTTTCCCCTGATTTATGGTAAGAAGGAAGAAAAGGAACTTCGGCCCTTACGCTCCTACGCGGCCATCTGCTATACCGGGACATTCTGCGTTAGCATCTTCCTGTTTGAGCTACTCAGGACCCTGTCTGGACAGGGGGGAAAGTGCCAGCACAGCAGATTTATTGCTTCCCCCTTATGTTAGCGAGACATTAAGAAGAACAAGGGAAGCGAACTGGGGCAGAGTTCATTTCGGATTCTTCCGATCTAAGCAATTTGCTATAAGCTTTTGCAGAAGCCGTCATGATTCAAACATGGATTATATAAAAATCATTATAAGGATATATGGTTATATGGCTAACTGATTCTATGAAAAGCATAAGGGTAAAATTCCTCCAGGTGTTCCTGCTTCACCCTAACCTCAATAAAACAATCCACAAACAGGCTAAAATCTGACAAACAAGCAGCACATTGGGGCTGCCAGAGCATATCAACACCCTCATCCCTACCCCAACTTACCAGTGATGTTAATAACATTAGCAACATTGCTTATGGACCCTATATCCAACATAGGCGTCACAAAGACGGTTGGAGGATGGATGGCGGCCAACAGATTGAGGTTGAATCCTGTCAAGACAGACGTACAGTTTTGGTGGGACAATGTAAATAGACGTTTCTGACCATCCCTTTCCCTAATGAGAATAATAGAGAGAAATTATCAACACACACAAGATAGTATCTTGCATTGCCTCTAGATGGTGGTAGAGGACCAATCACATCAACATACACCCGCTGAAATGCACTGGTTACTTTCGTCGCCTTCTGGACGTTTTTCGACACACCTGCAAGAGAAATCATGTTAGAATCACATGCAATAGACATATTATAATCAGATTCCTCAAACGTCAATAGATATAGTCCAATTTTCTCTCTAGCAGAAAGATACAGCTCTCCATCTTTGAAGATTTTGCAGCTCTCCTTATCATAGGACAAGACCAGTCCTTTCTTTGTGATCTGCGAAACACTCAACAGATTGAACTTCAAATCAGGAACCAAATACACATTGTTAATTGTCAAGTTCAGACTCTCCAGATAAACAGTTCCGAATCCGGTCACCTGGATCTCCTGACCGTTGGCCTGTTTCACAGTGAAGCTTTGCTTCTCAAACGTAGAAAACAGTTATTGGTGCGATGTCATGTGTTGCGTTGCTCCAGTGTCAATAACAAAAGCATTTTCCACTGAAAATGCGGCTTTTGTTGAGAGCAATGCCTTTGCAGGTTTCACCTGGGACTTGGTACGACTTTTGCCTGACGCCTCAGGCTTTGCAGAGTTCCCCTTAGCTCCTTTCTGCTGACATGGCTTCTTACAGTTGCGCTGAAGATGCCCAGTCTGTCCACAACTGTAGCAACGGACAACGTTCAAAGCTACAGCCTGTTCTTCACTAGCAATAGCAGTGGGGCGCTAGATCTCCGAGCTTCGCTCCCCCTGTCAGCGACATCTATTGCAGCAAGGCGGTCTCTCTCATTGAGAACCACGGAACAAATTCTCTCCACAGTAAGATCGGCGGCAGGTAGAGAACCCAGTTGACTTGCAACGGTTTTGTAAGTCTGACTTAGGCTGTTAATAATCATAAAACAGAATATCTCTTCCTGCAGAGGGAAATTGCGTTGCACCATCTGCTGGCATAAGAATTTCATCTCTGTCAAATGCGCTTGCCCATCTGCATCAGGTGCTAGCCTCATATTTGTCAGCTTTTCAAAATGCAGCAACGCTGTACCACCAGCATCTCTTTGGTGGATTCTCTGCAATATTAACCAAATTTCACGTGCGTGTTCCTCATCTCCAATATGAACAAGTTGCTCATCTGAGACACACAGAATAATAGCCGTCCTGGCTCTCACATTCTGTGAATTCCACTCTGGCGTAGGTGCAGCAGGGATGGGATTATCAATCACCCCAAAATCCTCTGATTCTGAAGCAGGGCTTTCATCTTTACAGACCATGAGGAATAGTTGTCATTAGTCAGTGGAGGTGGGTAAGGTAAGCCTCCCCCCTTCTTGGCATCCATTGTGAATCCAAGCCTCAGCTCTCAGTCACACACTGGTAAAATCCAAAAGTCTATTGATTGTTTACTGCCTTGCACCTGGCAGCTAAAGCACAGGCTGCTTTGGAAAGTCCCTCCAAGAGCAGTGAGATAACAGACAAACCACCAGTGTTTTTCCAGCCTCTCACAGCCCCAGCCTCACTTCCGCGTTGGCTTGTAATTTTCCTCTTTACTTTTCAAGGCTAACTAGCTCAGAAGTAGCTGAAAAGTATTCATGTCTCGTTGCTTAGCAACTGGACTTGGCAGATTGCAGTAGCAGAGCTTATCAGTCCTAAGGAATGTGAAGAATGTGGCTCTCTCTCAGTGCTGGTTTATCCAAAAGCAGCTTCTGTGAACCAGAGAAGAATCAATCTGCGTTCACTATTTTAGCCATCAAACATTCAGCATACCTTTAGGGGTTCCGTTGCTCGTAGCTTATCAGTAAAAATGCCTCCACCGGTGCTCAGCCGTCCTTGTAGCTTCCATCCGCTCGCTACCATATCTTCCTTTATCTCCTTGCAGAGGATGAATACGATCCATCGACCTCTTAGCTACTTTCATGTAGCAAAACCATCAGCTCCGTGCTACCAGATGTTGGAATTCAAGCCTCTATCGGGAGAAGCTGGCAACTCTCCCAGGCCCCCGGCTTGAGTTCCGATGATCTACTCTGGCTGCCCACGTCCCGGCAGTCCAGGCAGATCTTGATAGGCGACCCTCCCCAGCGTGGGAAGAGCACACCCACTCTTTCCTGCCCCCCCCCCGTAGGGGAAAGAGATGGTCAGAAATGTCTATTTACATTGCTTTATTTCTGACTCTTCAGCATAACAGAAATCATGTCTGCTCTCTTCAAGCATCGGCAAACAAGTGACAAAGACTTCCTGTACTTCCTGTACAAGAGCAAGAGGAAGAGCTCATATTACACTCTGAGCTTATTCCGGTGCATTGCCCTGTGAACTGACTGTCCCTCTGTTTCCCACGGACAGTCCCAACATTCCCATCATGTTTTGTTTTCAAGCTAGCAGTTTGCAGCTGCATTGCATCCATATCACAACATTAAGGACTTTTTTAGATCCTGTTTGTTCGTAGCATGATGAGAGGGCCGTGATGTCTTGTTCTATCTTGCTAACTTTTAAGGAGGTATGTTTTTTAAGGGATGCTTTCTCTTTTATACAAGCTCCTCTGGTGACCACTTTCATTGCATCCCATAGGAGAGGGGTTGTTTGCTGTCTACATTGTTTTCCTTGAAGTAGTTTTGGAGAGTTTTGTGAGACTCTCTCTGTTTATTTGTGGTTAGGATGGGACTGAAGGACCATGATGGGGTGGCTTGTGTCCCCCCTCCTATTTTGAGGGTAACTTCTATTGGGGCGTGATCTGTGATTTTAATGTTACCTACGTTGATTCATTCTACTGAGGGGATCCGACCTTGTGTGAGCAGAATGCTGTCCAGGTGGACACTGTGCCATAGCGCCCAGACAAGAATGTGTGGCTGGTGTCTCCTGGGTTTTCTTCACCCCAAATGTCAGAGACCCCTGTTTTTAGCATTTTTAGCAACTTGTAAGAGTCCCTAATTGTTGGGGGTTTCCTTCGGAGGAAGGTTGCCCAGGGGGTTGTAGGGTGGGTGTCTTTCAGGGATATACTTTTCATATTTAGGTTGAGGTCCCCCCCTTCCCCGGAATTGCTTCCCCTTCGGAGGAGAGGAACTTGTTTAATGTTTTTTGGATGAACTCTAGCTGTTTCAAGTCTGGGGCATATATGGAGCCAATTGTCAGTTTAGTTTTGCCATCTAGTGTCCCTTTAGCAAGAATGAGTCTGCCTCTTTTGTCTTTGAGGACTGTTGCGGCTTTGAAGTTCAGGACTCTACTGAGTATTATGGCTACTCCACAGGACTTCGCTGAGCCAGGTGCAACTCATTGTTGACTGAAGCAGGGATCGCTCAGGAGTTTGGGAGGGTTGTGTATTTATTGTAGGAAGGCGATGTGTGGTTTCATGGTGTTTACATACAAGGTGATGCATTTTCTTTTGATGGGGTTTCCCAACCCCCTCACATTTAATGTAATTGCTTTTAAGCTAGCCATCTTGCTTATCTACTATATAGGGTGATTCCATGCGAGCCAGTTTGGGTTGCCCTGTGTCTCTCACCTTGTATTGTCCATCAAACCAGTGAAATTGCGCTGACCTAGAGGTTAAAATTAGATTTGGGTTAAAGAGTGGGGGGTGGTTTGCAGAAAGTATCCCCTATGTAGTCATATAGGTGTTTATTTGGGGTATCATGGGCCATCTGGCATTTAGCCAGTTGGTCCTAGGTCTCAGATGGCATGGAGTTCTTTGTTCAAGGTCAGGCCATCCTCCCTGTTGTTTGTGATAGGAAGTGGTCAGTGAAACGGTGTTAAGTGTCTTAATAATGATAATAATAATTTATTATTTATACCCCGCCCATCTGGCTGGGCTTCCCCAGCCACTTTGGGCGGCTTCCAACAAAATATTAAAATATCATAATGCATCAAACATTAAAAGCTTCCCTAAACAGGGCTGCCTTCAGATGTCTTCTAAAAGTCTGGTAATTGTTCTTCTCTTTGACATTTGGTGGGAGGGCGTTCCACAGGGCGGGCGCCACTACCGAGAAGGCCCTCTGCCTGGTTCCCTGTAACTGGGCTTCTCGCAGTGAGGGAACCACCAGAAGGCCCTCGGTGCTGGACCTCAGTGTCCAGGCAGAACAACGGGGGTGGAGACGTTCCTTCAGATATACTAGACCGGGGCAGTTTAGTGCTTTAAAGGTCAGCACCAACACTTTGAATTGTGCTCGGAAACGCACTGAGAGCCAATGTAGGTCTTTCAAGACCGGTTTTACGTGGTCTCGGCAGCCGCTCCCAATCACCAGTCTAGCTGCCGCCATCTGGATTAGTTGTAGTTTCCGGGTCAGCTTCAAAGATAGCCCCACCTAGAGCGCATTGCAGTAGTCCAAGCAGGAGATACCCAGAGCATGCACCACTCTGGCGAGACAGTCCGTGGGCAGGTAGGGTCTCAGCCTGCATACTAGATGGAGCTGGTACACAGCTGCCCTGGACACAGAATTGACCTGTGCCTCCATGGACAGCTGAGAGTCCAAAATGACTCCCAGGCTGCACACCTGGTCCTTCAGGGGCACAGTTACCCCATTCAGGACCAGGGAGTCCTCCACACCTGCCCGCCTCCTGTCCCCCCAAAACAGTACTTCTGTCTTGGCAGGATTCAACCTCAATCTGTTGGCCGCCATCCATCCTCCAACCGTCTTTGTGACGCCTATGTTGGATATAGGGTCCATAAGCAATGTTGCTAATGTTATTAACATCACTGGTAAGTTGGGGTAGGGATGAGGGTGTTGATATGCTCTGGCAGCCCCAATGTGCTGCTTGTTTGTCAGATTTTAGCCTGTTTGTGGATTGTTTTATTGAGGTTAGGGTGAAGCAGGACCACCTGGAGGAATTTTACCCTTATGCTTTTCATAGAATCAATTAGCCATATAACCATATATCCTTATAATGATTTTTATATAATCCATGTTTGAATCATGACGGCTTCTGCAAAAGCTTATAGCAA